ATATACGCAAATGTTCACCAGAGGGATTAATTAATCTGTAAGCAGTCACCAGAATGCAGGAAATAAAGTCTCTAAAAACCAAATGTATTTTCTGGGGGATGACCTCCACAACACCTGTCTTGGTTTCAAAATCTTCTCTATTTTTTTAAGTCTCAAGATTGGCACTGACTCAAATCAGTTGATGCTTCGAACAAACAAAATAACAAGTCGAGTTATTGTGGCTGAGAGTTGCTGATTGACTGAGTGAAAAACAATGCTGCATTTTGAGATGCTAAGTTTCCACTGATTCAGTCGTTATTGCAATTGAATCCCATCCAGTTCTTTTTTCTTGCTTCTGTCAAGGATTTTGTAAAGAAACCACATTGCTTTGAATATCTGTGTATCAGTTTGAGTCTTTACCTTCATTTTCTTCTAATCTGTATATGTGCTTTACCGGTAACCTTTTTATATGTCACTACTCCTCCGAGGAAAATCCGCCTCACCTGTTGAAACACCTCTGCTTCTCCTAACCAGCTTTTCTTGCCAAGGCCGTGCTCTCACGACACAATATCCCACTGAGGTTTTAAGTCCCTTACACACCAAGCCGATTTCGGCCGTCGATAGATGTCGATAGATGTCGATAGATGTCGGGCCGTCGATGAGCGTCGTGTCGCCCTACTCAGATTGGTGTGTCTTGGTGTGTCCTGCACCGTCGTGTCTTTTCAGCCGTGCCGACACCTTCCGCCGCCGATTCGACATGTTGAATCGGGAGGCTGTCGGCTAAAGGCCGTCGGCCAAAGAAATCAGTGCATGAGAAGCGAAACGGAAGTGAGGGACCCAAACAAACTATTAAGAAGGCAAATCTGAGATTTCATTTAACTCCAGCTCTCGACACAGGTTCGGGAAAGCCCCATGAGCTTCTCGCTGTAGAGTGAAAATGGAACGCACACGCTATTTGTTGTTTGTTTATATCACGCAGTCTGTTCTTCTTCTCTCGGTGTATCACGCAATCTGTCTTCCGGTTGTTGCCTCTTTTGAATGACGAATACACACTACCGCCGCCTGCTGGTAAGGAGAGTTATTGCCACTCACGCATGCGCAGTTCGTACATGCAACTTGGCCCTTGGCTGAAGTCTTTGCGGTGTGTGTTCCAGTCATATATACAGTCTATGGTTCCAGTGCGAAACATGGCCAAGACGCAGGAGACGTGAGGTGACGTTCCGTCGGGACCTGTTCTTTGGTGTTCTTTGGTGTCAGTTTGGTGTGTAAGGACCTTTACAGTGCTCAGTTCACCCCTCTACACTATTTCTACTGTATTTTGCAGCTGGTGCTCCACTATATTCAATGGCTTGCTCTGTGCCTCAGGTCTTACTAGATGGAAATAAATGTGTAATGCTACTTAAACATCTGATAAGGTTTTATTTTATTACGTTCAGGAGTAATAACTTTGATTACATTTTTTAAATGTTCATGCTAATGTGTCAGATCATGTATTTTCCAGCCTCTCAAATATGGACATGTCCCGTTTTTTTCTGTTTTAAATCATTTTAAACTCAACATCTTTCTGTTTTAGACAAACACAACCCTATCCTAACCTATACCAGTAAAAGCCACACGTTTCATACAAATGACTTTCTGTTTGAAGCTGCAGCAATTGACCTGAGCTGGAATGCACTCACAAACTCCTGAAGTGTGTGCACACACAGTGGAGAGGAGTTACACCGGGAAGTCTTAGGTGGATATGACAGGCTATTCAAAACTGTCAACAGCCTGTTGTTTTTTAGAGCCACGTAATGAAAATCCCTCTGTGCTTGAAATGAAGTGCACAAATATTGACAAAGTAATCTCATCTGAAGCCTTGTTGTCGGAGGAGGGAGACCGACCTGGCACTTCTGAATGGGTTGTGAATAATTTGAACTGGCTCTCTTTTCAGTTGTGCAAAAAGAACATCCATTTAAAAGTAGAGATTTTAGATTACTCTTGCACAGTAATCATGGAATGTGAACATATGATAATTAGTTTCTCCATGAATAATTTACATATCAAGTCGCCGCTCCTGTTTCATAACTGCTTTTGTCAGCTGCAAAACAACAACCCTCAAAGTAGTTACTTTCTCATCAGCAGACTGGCTGACACACAGATTCAATCTGTGTCTGCCACTGGGCAGGTGGCACTCCAGTTATTGTACACAGCATATAGTAAACTGTATGGTTCCTTCTCTGTATGTCTGCAGTTTTATATGTAAACTATTTGGAAGTGGAAAGCTACACATTAGCAAAGGCATATCACTCTATTCCCTATCTTTATTCAAGAGCGTGTTCTTTCAATTTGAGAACATCATTTATTGATTTCACGTTCAGATTTAGTATTTCTTTCAGTCAAACCCTGTCCTTGCGCTTAGATTTGCTCTGCTTCTGCTCAAACTGTACGCTTGCACTCAGATATATTGCTGCTTGCACAGATTTCCTGTTTTCCAGTTTAAAACCTTGTCCTCGCACTAAAGGCCCGGACACACCGGGTCGATTTCGGCCGTCGATGAGCGTCCTGTCGCCCTACTCAGATTGGTATGTCCAGCACCGTTGTGTCTTTTCGGCCGTGCCGACACCTTCCGAATCGGGAGGCTGTCGGCAAAAGGCTGTCGGCAAAATAAATCACTCTGATTGGCTGTTCAGCTTAGCGAATCATTGCATGAGAAGCGAAACGGAAGTGAAGAAGGCACACACAGGGGCCGTCTCTCAATCGCGAGGATATTGGCTTCCAAGCCAATATTTCAAGGATGCTACGTCATCGAGTGCCGCCAAAGGACTGTTCCAATCTCCAGCATACTTGGAATTCCACCGAGGCCGCGTCCTTGGTTTGGGGGAAATTTCGAGGCTGCACATGGGTAGACTTCGCGTCCTTAAAATCCCCACAATGCTTTGCGCATGGACCAATTTCCCCAAATCTGTGGCAGAAGATGTAAGGCGGGGCCTCTCATATGACGCACAACTGCACACTTGCTAGCCTGTTCCACTCTTCGTTTTCCGAATGCCAGGAAGTATTCTTGCCTTGCTTCTGAAGCAAGATGCTCGGCTCGGCTGTGCTACCAAGCCAGCATCCTCGCGATTGAGAAACGGCCAGGGTGTTTCTCAATCGCGAGTAAAGCTGCTTCAGAGCCACTATTTCAAGCATACTACGTCATCGAGTGCCGCCGAAGTACTGTTCCAATCTCCAGCATACTTGGAAATCTACCGAGCCCGGCGTACTCCGTTTGGAGAAATATCGAGGCTGCACATGAGTAGACTCCGCGGTCTTAAAATCCCCACAATGCTTTGCGCACGGACCAATTTCCCCAAATCTGTGGCGGAAGATGTAAGGCGGGGCCTCTCATATGACGCACACCTGCACACTTGCTAGCGTGTTCCACTCTTCGTTTTCCGAATGCCAGGAAGTATTCTTGACTCGCTTCTGAAGCAAGATGCTCGGCAGACATGTGCTACCAAGCAAGGGTACTCGCGATTGAGAAACACCCACAGACGGCTATTATTTGCGGCTATTATAATCTTTCTTCATGTAATTTTTAATTTAAGATCATATGTTGCCCTCACTAAGTATAGATACAGTTCATGTTATACCATTTATTGTGCATTTCTCTGAAGCAAATGTAGTGAGGGCAACATACGATCTTAAATAAAAAAATTACATGAAGAAACATTTATTTTAATTTTATTATATTTCCCCATTCCTAAACAATGAAATAACTAAGAAAAAAATACACATTTTGTTGTCAGTTGCCTAGCAACAGTGTTCACGTAATGTACAACACTTGAAAGCCAGTTATTGTCATAGATGTGCCGCAAATATGACTACCAAATTAATTTGCAGGAAGTAAAGTTAACGTTAATAGTAAAAGTTAAAATAAAAAGTCGTAAATAAAGCAAGTGAAGTAGGCTACATTTAATAAAGCCATGGAGGGAGTTTATAAACCTGGTTAAAGAGTAACCACCCTTACGGGACGCTCTAATAAGTAAAACGAACGCGCCAGCAAGACGACACTTCACCTGGCCTCCTATTGGTTGAGGGATTTTGAAATGGTTTTTGCACAGAAAAAATCCAAGCGCAGAGCAGAAATCTGAGAGCAGACATTTGACGTCAAGCGCAGTCAGCGCACAGAAGCAGCCTAAGTGCGAGGAGAAGGTTTTAAACTGGAAAACAGGAAATCTGTGCAAGCAGCAATATATCTGAGTGCAAGCGTACAGTTTGAGCAGAAGCAGAGCAAATCTAAGCGCAAGGACAGGGTTTGACTGAAAGAAATACACAATCTGAACGTGAAATCAATAAATGATGCTCTCAAATTGAAAGAACACGCTCTTGAATAAAGATAGGGAATAACCTCCATAATAATCAGGAAAGTGTGTTGTCTGTGAAAAAATAAACTTGTATTTAAATGTTAGAGAGAGAAACAAATGTGGCTGAAAGAGAGGCCCTCAAAGGTCAATTTAAGCAAGTCAGATATAAATCTTGAACAAATCAAGTTTAATATTCGTCATGTATTATGATGACGAAAACAGGTAAACGATTTACACACTTGTTTCCTTTTCTTGTATGTCAGTGCTTGCAATTTACTGTTAGGAAATTCCATGTGTCCGCGACGAAGGACGCTTGCTGCATCAGAGTAAAGTGTACCTTCTTCATCATCATATACTTAATGTTAATAGGTCATTCATTAAGAGTCAATTTGTTCTCTACTTATCCGAAGCTTCATTCATTCATTTATTAACATCAAAGTGTATGAGGCTTTAAAAGGTTGCCAATGACTTTGCTCTCCTGCTGAAAACCAGTTGTCTTTTTTGACAACACATTATCTACTCAAACCTATATTTATATGTCATAGATACTTAAGTTTGACCTTATGATAATTAGAAAACTTCCATCAGTCAGTGTTAAAATGACGGATAACTTGCTGTAACATATAGATCCATATATTCGATGAAACAATCCATGATTTTAAACTGTCTTTTCTGCTTTTGATTGGTTAACAGAGGTATGTGACAGCCCGCTGGTGGCCAATCTGCCGCCATCATCGTTCAGAAGCTCCTCCCAGCTCACCAGCAGCCATGGGCCGGTCTTTGCAAAGGTCAACAGGAGAGAAGGTGAGGAATCATTCATTGCTATGTCCAGCATAAATATTTAACAGCCTGTGGTAGCAGCGTTTCTGTTTTATTGTATGTGTGTTCATTGTCATAAATAATGCCTGGGATAATCCAGGCATTGACAGACTGTAGTTGGTGCAAGAATTGTTTTAGATTTGAAAAGGGGATTTTCAAGTTTAGTTCCCCTTCTTTGAGAGGTTTTGGAAATATTTTCTCAAAAAGGGCTGAAAACAAGAAAGCTACTGCTAGCTTTAGCTCTGTGGTAAACACTTGGATCTACTCTTTTCATACTGTAAACTTTTTTTTCTCACAGTTGTTTTTCAAACCATTAACAGTGAGGGATGATGGGTGCAAGATATCCGTACAATTATAGCTTTGAGCAGTTTTAAACTTTGTGCAAAGTTGACATCAGCTGTCAAGAACTATTCAGTCCATTAAAATGTTGGTGGCAGATAGAGAAAAAGCAAAGCCTGTTGAAAGAATCTCCCTCTTTCCACTGAAATGTGTTCAGTTCAGTTCGGTGGGCTGCAGTGGTGCATTTCCGCCTCAGTGCAGGAGAGAGTCTCTGCAGGACGCACAGCACCAAACATCAAAGCCAGACCTCAAATGGATTCACACAGTCTGAGAGATACCTCTGTGGAGGCAAGGTGTAGGGAGAAGGAAGGAGAGATACATTCAACGATAGATAGTTTATAAGGACAGCAGTTACTGCCAACAATCTGTATCGTGTATATAAAAATGCATTGGAATTATATTACTAGTACATCAAATAGCCCCACAGGACCACCTCCTCACAAAAAGTGTATAAATCAGAGTTGTCATTCACCAAACACAATGAGAATCCAAGAGGGAGTGCTTTACTGGATGCTGATGCAGGGTTTTTAGAGGGGATATCATGGCTGGGTTTAGAGCTTTTGGGAGGGAACGGTTCACAGATTTCTCCATTTACAGAGCTCAGGGGCTGACTGTGCCAGAATAGAGAATCCTCTTTTGTCTTTTACTTCTACTATAAGTATAATTTTACCAATTTGAAGACAAATAGAAAATAACCCAGCAGAGGTGTCAATGTGAAGGCTCGCAGTTTTCTTCTTGTGTAAACACATTCCAACACATTATATAAAATTGATAAGAGGGAAATGGTTGAGCTAATTTCCTGGGTCTGTAGGCACTGCTGAAACATAAAGCCAATCATACAGCTGGACCTTTTCCAACAGCCTGCAGCTGGGTTTAACAGAACATGGTGCCTTTCAGAATGCCCCCCCACCCCCCAACTGAATCTGAGTCCAACAGACTACCAAAATCAGACTGAACACTACTTGACGAACAACAAGTTTTGGCTGCTTGTGGCAGAGTGAAGTCCTTCCAGTTGCACGTCACGTGGTATTGCACATTTCATTATACATGTATGTGTGTAGTGTACATGTCTGGAATAAATGAAAGCAATGACAGAAAACTCCTTATCAGAAATAATACCTGCAGGTGCCATTTAGTTCATTTTTAAGTTACATTTTAATATTTGTCAATCTGCATAACAGCTTTTGCCTTTAATTGTTAGTGATTTGAGAATGGTCCTTAAGTATTCAACTTAAGTCAAATATTTAAGCATCTGTGTACATTATGTGCATTTTGTATTGGTTATGTATGTTATATATATATTCTTTTGGTTTCTGGCCACCAGTATAAAGTATCAGCATGTGGTGTGTCTTTGCGCAGTGCATGATTTGTTTGCTGCTACCAGATGCATGCCATCTTTGCATGTGTGTGTGTTGGACTGACTGTGTGTTTCATACATGGGGGCCATTTATTCCCAGAGCTGCCTCCACTTACAGTCTAGGGCCCGACCCTGAATGGGGCCAACAGCAACAGAGGTAAGCAACAGTCCCACACAGACATTTAATCCTATATCTCCCAGGTGAATAACCAAGTGCAAACTGGACAATTAGCATGTCATGAGGTGGAGGAGTGGCCAGAGATAGGAGCTCTGACAGAGGGTTCCTCTGGTTTAGAGGCTAAGGAGGCGTACGATCAAAGCTGCCGGTCTCAGCAACAGACTTCATTATGTTCAGGACATTTTCTGTCACCAACATGGGAGAAATATTATTGATGTGATCTGCACTGCTGGAGAGGAGTATGGCTAGCCTAAGCTGAGCAGTTGTTTACTATGGTTAAACCTCACTTTCAATCAAAAAGCATTACATACAAATAACAGTTCAGATAATGTTGACCCATGTAAGTTCAATCTGCAGGCTTGTACATCACATAAATGCCATCATTTTCTAGAGTGGATGTTCCAGACAAAAGAGAAAACTGTGCGCAAAAAGAGAAAGCAATTAGGTAGCACTGGAAATATTTGTGCTGCAGTTTCTTTTAAAGTCTCCACTTTGGCTTTGAATGTCTGCACCAGTGGCCATGTGCTCTGTGCCAAGACACTTGATGTATTGGTGATGCACCTGATGATCAAATGTAGAATAAATCAATAAGCAATCTAATCTTTGCCTGTTTTGGAGCTGAAGAATATAAAGTGTTGAGGAGCATTCTCCACAGGGTTGATTTGGTGCATCCTAATTGGCTGCATGCGTATGTGGAAATGTCAGCATTCAGAGATGAGTAACAACTCAGCAATGCATCTGGCAATAAGCAAGGGCCTTTTCAGTTAATTGACTGGATGTGAACTTGTTGGAAGTTTTACTCTCCCTAGTTTTGTCAACCATTTTGCTGCTCAAGTGTTCCCATCTCTACAAAATCGTTCTATGTTTGTCTGTTTTCCCCCTCTCACCGTTCCCCACATTTCACTATCTCCTTCTCTTTCTTCTCCTCATCTGTTAATGTATTTCCACCCTTCTCTGCCGAATCCTGCCTTGTCACTCTCTTGTTGAACTCTTGTAGAGTACCATTTTAACTGCCAAGAAAACATTGAGATAACTTCATTCCATCTTATAGCCAAATGTTAACGACAGCATTTAACATTTACAGGCAAATGTTAATGGCAGTATTTAACATCTAAACGGTCCCATTTCTTTCCAGCAGGCCATACTGATAATTGCACATTAGAACCACTGTAATTACGCTGAAATGGGCATGGGACACTTCATCAATCCCCAGTAATCTTTCTCTGGAAGAGCTAATTTAGATTTGAACAGGAGATTTGAACATTAGTAGGGGGTGATAGGTTAAATTAAATATGTGGATGGGAACAATAAAACGAGGCATTGATCTTTGTGTAACGTTTATGCGCCGCCTCTGCAGGTGCCCATTTAGTGCTGCTCTTAAATACCACAGTTGCTCTGCTCGAATCCTCCTAATCGGAAATAGTCACTCTCCTTATAAATCTAATTATATGCATACATTTAGCTTAATCCTTGACAAAATGCTACTAAAAGCCACTCACCTTATTTGGTACATCCCTCACTCAATTAACATCACAATCTTTGAGTCACACAGTAAGAGGCCTTTTCCTGTGTTAACAACATAAACAACATTTTACTGCCAGAGAAGCAGATGTAACACATCATGCTCACCTGTTCTTTACATGTTCATAATGGTTTATTTTGGGAGACACAAGTTCTCCATTTTCCAATTAGTTGTTGCTTTGTAAGACACCACCCTCAATTTTGTCACATACATTTCTTTAAGTAAAATGCCCTTGCTGCCTCTGCAACCTGCAAACCTTATTGATTTGTGCTCCATGTTAGTTTTAGCCCCATTACTTGCAATCATGTAACTTTGTTTTCCACCTGCCTACTACATTTTGTTTAAAATCCCTAAAGGTACTGTCTCCAGGGTGTGGACTTAATTATACTCAAGACCACTAAAACAGTTTTCATTGCAGTGCAACGTTTTTACAACCTATAGATATGTTACAGTGGCCTGATAAGAAAACATCTGCCTCTTTCATTTCACTCTTTGTTGTTTTGCTTCCTATCTCTGGGAATGTTAATATGGCTTTTGTTTTTGTCTGGTGCTGTGTCATTCTTTATAAATAGCAGAGTATTATTTCCCAGGTTGTCAGAAAATCACCTTAACCTCCAACTTCAATCCATTGCAGCTATATGACTCTCCAATTGGTTTAAGACTGTCTGAAATTCCCCCAGGCCCACACAAGCATTTAGAAATGTTGGCCTGGTAGTACTGTCTGTCTCTTTGCTCTTGTGTCTTACCCATAGACTGTATATATAAAGGTCTTACCACTTGTCTCTTGTCACTTTGGGGGATTATTTGTCTTCTGTAATGGCTTGTATCCCTTTTCCCACATCTGTCCTGTTTTTGTCTTCCTTTAGTCCCTTTTTTCACCCATTACTGTGTTGAACAGTACATCAGTTCTAACCAAACATTGCTTTTATTTGGTGTTACTACACATCCGCTCCCTCAAGTGAAGCCATTGCCCTGACATGAGTTGTAACAGCCTCTATTTCCCTCGTGAATGCAATCCACCCACTCGGTGGAGATTGCAATTAGAACAGAACGGATATAAATAATGTGCCCGGTGTTGTTTTCTACCGTTTTATTAAGAGAGACAAGGGCTGAAGTTAATTTTCTTTGTGGAGATGGCTTTGGGGACAGGCTGGGAGAGTGGTGTTTCAGGAGCTGTCTTGGTGTCTCTCTGTGGTCCAGCCTCCATTACTTATGGAGCAGTCTGTGGTTATATATAACATGATTGGATTGCCCCAGCATTTCATATAACTATCTAAGTTTGTAAACTCCAGCCTAAGTAAATAGCTGGTGAAACAAAACAGGGTTGCACCATTACAATGGATGTCTCAAAACTTCATAGTAACGTAAGAGAAATTTGTAGTATACAATCCAATCAAAAGTGATCAGCTATGTAAGCGGGGATTCATTGTAGTATTGAAGATACTACAAGATTAGCCAATGTTATCCTACCCCTTTTTAACATCCTAAACAAGTCATTCATTAGCAAGCTAGTACTAGCCTGTCAGTTAGCTTACAAACAGTTAAATCAGGCAGCAGATGTAACTAGTTTCTGTGGCACAATCTGTTAT